TCACATACTATGTAGTCATAACAACATTCTTTCTAGAAAGCCAAGGTCATCCTTTGTCTCTGCACCTGTCCGGAACTGGATGGGTGGCAGAGGGAGATTGGACCATGTGATGGATTTGTGGGTGTGGGGGCAAGATCTTGAACTTTCAACTATGTGGGGGAAACCGGGAAGCTTTCAGATTTGGGTTTTCCCAGATGTGCCAACATGGCTCTCTTCATAAATTGGAACTTTGGGGAATCCTTTGCCTTGGACTCTGATTTAATTTTGGATGCTATTTGGAACCCTGACAGTTTAACTTTCCCCAAAATCAGGGGATTTGTAGTGCAAGTTACAGAGGATGTAGTTGTGGCAATACACACCCTAGATAGTAGTTGTGACCGGCTAGCTGATGTACTGGCCTGAGATGACACCCTCTTTTCTGGCTGTGAAGGTTGCGGCGGCTCTGCTTTGCGGAAATCGGCGAGTATGGCTGTTAAATCTTCAACACAAAGCTGCACCTGGAGGGATGGAGAAACGGAGCGTGTGGCCTTTGCTAAATTGGGAGGAGGAAGCGATACATGCATTGAGTGGTCCAGTGGCTTAGGGCCTTACAATCAGAGGGCTGTGAGTTCGATCCTAGATAGAGGCAGATATTTCTCTCTCTGGGCACAATGAGAATATATCTGCTGAACAAAACTCCGCTCTGGCAACAGGAAGGGCAATGGGCCAGCAAACACTCTACTAGCTCCATTCCGTTGCCCAGACTCCGCCCCTGCAAGGGATTATGGGTTTTTTAAAAGAAGATGAAGTGGTACAGGCATTATCTTAAGGACTTGAAGAAAAGGCAGAGGGTTAATCAAATAAATGGATTCTAAGAGAAATCAATCCAGACTTCTCACTCAAGACTCAAATGGCCAGGGACAAATTACTTCATTTTGGAGACATCCTAGAAAGACGTCTGTGGCTCTGAGAAAGATAGGGAAGAAGTAGGTGACTAGCAGCAATAGGGTGGACTCAAGGATATGGGTAGTCCTCAATTTACGACCACAACTGAGCCCAAATTTTCGGTTGCTAAGTGAAACCTTTGTTAAATGAGTCTTGCTCCACTTTATAACCTTTCTTGCCACAGTTCTTAAGTAAACCACTGCAGTTACAGATCTACGTAAAGCTAAAGATTTCCCTCGCACATGTGTGCTAGTTGTTCCCAACTCTAGGGGGCGGTGCTCATCTCCATCATGTGCCTGGGTGGACATGGCTATGTAGTCATGTGATCGGGGTGCCAGGTTTGTGCTCCTCCCTCCCTCCTTTCTTTCTTTCTTTCTTTCTTTCTTTCTTTCTCCCTTCCCTCCTTTTTTCTCCCATCCTTCTCTTTCTTTCTTTCCTTCTTTCTTTCCTTCTTTCTTTCTCCCCTCCCTTTTTCTCCTATCATTCTCTTTCTTTCTTCTTTCTTTCCCCCTTCCCTCCCTTTTTCTCCCATCCTTCTCTTTTTCTTTCTTTCCTTCCTTCTTTTCTTTCTTTCTCCCTTTCCTCCCTTTTTCTCCCATCCTTCTCTTTCTTTCTTTCCTTCTTTCTTTCCTTCTTTCTCCCTTCCCCCCCTTTTCTCCCATCCTTCTCTCTTTCTTTTTCTTTCCTTCTTTCTTTCTCCCTTCCATCCCTTTCCCCCCATCCTTCTCTCTTTCTTTCCTTCCTTCTTCTTTCTTTCCTTTCTCCCTTCCCTCCCTTTTTCTCCCATCCTTCCTTCCTTCCTTCCTTCCTTCCTTCCTTCCTTCCTTCCTTCCTTCCTTTCACAGCACACACACACATACACACACCGTTTTTGGCCTGGCAGGGCTCAGGGAATCCTCCTGGGAACAAAAACGGACCCCAAATGCTAGAAAAAAGTTTTTAAAAAGTTTCTACTATTGCGCAGCCCAGATGATCGTTGCAACTTTTTTTTTTAACTTGGCTAAGCATTTTTTTTTTTTACTCCTAGTTCAGGCGAACTGGCCCGAACCGGTAGCATTTCACCCCTGGTCTAGGGCTATTTGTAACCTGGGCGCCGAGATCAGCCAAAGGTCAATAAAATTTCACAGCTTGGAGCCCTCGCTGCCAGAGAAACCTCTTACATTACTTCCCTTCGCAAGATCCATTGTCGGCGTATTCATAATTTAAAACCTCCCACGGTGTGACTTTGCCGAAGCGAAGAGCATTTTTTGGAAGTAGAGCTGACCTCATCTAGCTGGGCTTCGGTGTCCTCTTGGGGCACATTCATGCGTAGCTTCCTGTGCTTGGCCACCATCTGGAAAAGGTTCAGAATTGCCAGTTTGATCTGCCCCAGCTCCAGGGTCTTGCCGGCAGCCGTATTCTGGATGCAAATCCAGTTGGACTCCTAGAGAGGGGGGAAAGTAGGAGAAAAAATCCTGGCCTTTTCTTGAGACATCTCCTTGCGGAATAACAGGGTTGGAAGGGACCTTGGAGGTCTTCTAATCCAGCCCCTTGTTCCTAAGCCACGTCAGATAAATGGCTGTCCACGGGAAGGAAGGAGGGAAGGAAGGAGAGAAGGAGAGAAGAAAGGAGGGTAGGAAGGAGGGAATGTAGGAGAGAAAGAAGGGGGGAAGGAAGGGGGAAAGGAAGGAGAGAAGGAGAGAAGAAAGGAGGGTAGGAAGGAGGGAATGTAGGAGAGAAAGAAGGGGGGAAGGAAGGGGGAAAGGAAGGAGAGAAGGAGAGAAGAAAG